CTTTTATTGCCTGTTGAGAAAGAGACCTGACAGACCTCAATACGTCCAGGTAAATTCTATTGTCAATGTGTTTTATCGGTTGATTATAAACAATATTATACAAATATTTAACGACTACGGTAAGTGATTTTTGCAATCTTACCATTGTAAACCAACCAGCAACTTTGAGTTCTTGAAGCATATCATTCTAAAAAAAGAAAGTAATTGGTTTATGTAGTTGCTCTTTGCAAAATATTAAACATTTCATTAATTGTCAGTTGTTTCTCGAATAAACAATATTCTTACTGACATAAACCTCAGTAATTTTCTTAATTATTTTTTTCTAAGGACCTTTCAGTAATATGTAGTGTTGCTTGTAATTGTTATAAATTTTAATGATGTATGAAGCTGTGTTTTGTTACAAATAATAATAATAATAATAATAATAATAGGCCTAATAATAAAAATAATAATAATATTTACAACAACAAAAGAAAAACAAGCAATAAATAGTTTGAATTAAACTAAGGTAAAAAAAAAGTTTCAGAAAGCCTGTGCGCTATCGGTAGGCCTATAAGTATCCAGAACAGGTCCCACCAATACCAACCCATCTCAAAAACAACGTCGCTGTCACACCCGGGTGCACGCAGGCACTCCGTTAGGCAGTAAGTTGGGCTCCGTTATGCTTCCACCTCAGAATAGGCATCGGCTATACTACCGTGCACTGCAAAAACAATGACGTTGTCTCGAGTAAGGAAATGGTGGGGCCCAGCTCTGGACACCCGAAAACCATAGCACATCCATCATAAATGAAAACCTTCCCAGATGAAATGATGAAACATATCATGCGTATTCTACGTTGTTAAACAGAAAAAAATAGTAGGATTTTTAAAAGACTCAATAGAAAAATCCGATGTGATGTCCTGAAGAAGACCATTCCAAAATGTTGGGGCGGCATTTGCAGAGGAACGAGCGCCATAACTCATCTTCAATTTCGAAAAAAAAATATTGTAGGCCTAAAGAATTAAAATGCAATCAACTATTGTCTAAATGAAGGTCATAATCTGGTCGAGTTTGCTTTGGATTTTTTGCCTCCGCCGTGCCAACCATCACGATCTTTTATTATGCATTTAAGAGTTTAGCAAACTTAGAGTACATTAGATCCTGCACTGTGTTTGAATGCAGTAGTGGATGTAAGTAAGGTGCCACCCCACCCCCTAAATATTTGAAAATTATTTTTAAAATTGAGAAATAAAAGAGAATTATATTCAAATTTAGGTCTGAGAGTGCTAATTCTTGGACCGGCCATCTAGAGGTGACCATGGAGTGTAGATAGGCCTATCTATCTATTTGTTACTTCAATACATAGTTTTTTTTCATATAACTCACCAGCTCAATAATCTGTGTTAACACAAATGACAGCGATACATTGACTATTGTAGCCTCGTCAAGTACGGGTCGATTTGTCGGTGGTCCAATGCTGTCTAAAAGTGCTTCAGTTATAAGAGTTTCATTGTTTTTTGTGATGAAAATATTTGAAATGCTGTTTACTATATAAAAAAACAGTAAATGTTTAAAAATAAAGTTTATAAACAATATACTAGAATTCAATAAAAAAATAAATGAAAGAAAATCTACATTGAACTAATACTGTTATGGAACTCATGTAGGTATATAATGATTATTGTTTGTGAATGGTGACAAAAACAATAATATTTAAAGAAAAAAACTAAATTGTGTTCAACTGGAATATTTCATTATCATAATTTTGATAATAATAATGAATGTTGTAATGATGGAGATAATGATAGTATTATTATCATTACCATCACCATCGTAACTAGAATGTGCTCTAGGCCTAGTGGTAGTAAGTATATTCACATTTTTGTTTTCTACAACGTTTTGCCATTAACATCACGAAATACACAGACAGCATCAACTATACGTGGTTAAATATTAAACAATATAAGGTACACTGTTACCTGATAGAAATTGCGCTGTCAGTAGTAAAAATGCTAAATCCAATTTCAACATGGTGCTGCTTGATTGACAAAGGCAAGGAATGGCCTGCAATGAACAATTTATTATTGAATTTTCGATGACGTTTCCAGTCAAAAAGAAGCTGTCTTTATGACACTTTGTCAGATCAGTGACACGAATTAGTTAGGAATAAAGATATCTATCATTAGGAATTTAGTCCATGAACTGTCTAATAATCTCTTATGTATAAAGGGAGAAAACGGCTCAACCATGAAGGTTAGTGACCATTTCCAACTAAACGATTGACGGTTTGTCCTTAAAATGATGAGGAAGCCACTAGCTTCAAACGGTTAGTAGTTTTAAACAAAATAATAACAGATTATGATAAACTGGCGTACACCTCTAACACTAATTGTATCTTTAACTTTCAATAAAATAGCTGTGTACATCCAAAATATACCATACGTTCATACTCAGAGATTGATAATTCGAATATCGTAATATAATAATAAAAAGGCGTTAGGTCATAATAATATACAAATAAATCCATACATAGGCGTATCACACAAAAATTTAGTATAACATATCAATATATCATAATTAAAAAAAAAATATCTCAAATGTATAATATACCCAAAGTAACACAACAGCATAAAACATTGTGAAATAGGCCCTTACACAAAAATACTGAATAATGTTAAATGGCCATGCATTTTTTAGCGTCTTAATTCAAAATTTTTTCTTTCCTTCTTTATTCAATTGTGTGCGTCTCAGCAAAAAACATTACAAAACATCAAACACAAAAAGAAACAAATGCAAAAAGAAAAGTAAGTGCTGGATCAACAGACTCTTGGTTCAAACTATAAAATTTACGCAACAGTGGGGGATTATTGAAAAGAAGGTGAGCATAAAAAAGCGCCACCTAAAGGTTGAATAGGGACATTCCTTCGATTTATAAAAGGTATTCAATTCTTTTTATTGTGTCCCTGAATTATTATAATAGCTGAACAACCTAACAATGAAAATCACCCAAGGGAAAATTCTCCAACTTAAATTCGATGTGAGAGGCCTTGCAATTGTGAAACTAAAAACAATATGCCTAACCAGTTTTTCAAAAAGCATTCTAAATCTGTACAGTAGTTACAAAAATGATCGATATAGGAGAAAGGCTGTAAAAAAATATTTTATATTTTAAATTTGTGCCAAGGAATGCAGTGTACGTTTTGCTCCACTTGAAGATGAGTCACTGGTTGCAGATAGTGACAAACCATTAACAATTAAGGAAGCATATATATATATATATCTGTCTCTTATACACATCTAGATGTGTATAAGAGACAGACAATATTCTTAGCTTTAAAGGGCCTGTCTCTTATACACATCTAGATGTGTATAAGAGACAGCATATATATACACACATATATATATATATTCAATTCAATTAACATTTATTCAATTAATTAATAAATACATCAAATGATAAATAAAGTTTACAACATTAAAATTAATTAATTAGGATAAAATATAGACATTGATACGATAAAAAAACATACACAGTAGACGTATTATAGGAACATAATTTTATTAGGCACGAATCCTCATGACATTCTCAACGTGAATGAGACAATAGTTGAAAATGGTTACTGGGTGAAACAATGCATACACAGGTTATCTTACATAATCGGAGACCACTAAGGTGATTAAGGGATTAATTCTTATTTAATGAATGTATAACCACTAACCACTAGCAACGCCTAGATCTTTATTGAGTCTGTTGATGTCTATCTCTCTAGTACTAGTAGCTTTGTAGTTACAGCCTAATATAATAAAACGTAGATTATCTATGGCAGGGGTGGGCATAAATATCGGTCGAAGGGCCAATGTGAATTTTTGATTTAACACCGCGGGCCGTATCAAAAACTTTGATGTTTCCAGTGAGCTTCCAAAAACCTTCAAGCACTGCTTTTACACCACTTTATTCTCAGTTTTAATGATACTTTTTACATATGATGGGTGTCGGGCCGTAAAAAAGGGTGTTTTCTAACCAATTTTGCTTGGCGGGCCGCACACATAGGGTTTTTAATTATTGTCCGCGGGCCGCAAACAAATCGCTGTCGGGCCACATGCCCGCGGGCCGCACTTTGCCCACCTGTGATCTATGGAGTGTCCCTGTGAAATAGTCGCAGAGATCCCAAGTCTCCCGAAAAATGGCGGGTTCTCCCGATTTTTATTAATAATCTCCTGATTTTTGTAAATATCCCGAAAATTTCACAAAAAAATGTGATTTCCACGATGTCATAGAGCAATGAAACAATTATTATCTTAAGCCAATATACTATGGCGCTCGCTCAGCATTGAAATGTCGTAAACAAGACCAGGGAGTTGTTATTTAAGTTGTTTATCAAAATAACAACTCCATGGCAATTGGCAGGCCTAGATCCGTGGTAGAATCGCCTTGTTTATCCTCCATGTTACGATCTTTTTCAACCGCGACGACCTCAATCAATGAGATGGCTGTCAGTTGAGTAAATAAATTTCAACAAATTAACGAAATTAGAAATCAATCTGTCAGTCACATGAGGGACCCCCAGGAAATAAGTCCTTTAATAGGGACTAATATTTCCATTTGGTTTTTCGACGTCTTTTATTTTTTCTGTTTTTTTATATTTATGTTTATATAAAGTTGAGATTTTGAATAAATCAAATCAAATTGTAGCATTGGCCTAGATATGACGTTATCGTTCGTCCTTCAGGCTATTCAATCTATGAGAGTCTATTGACCCATGGAGGTATTTGAACAGAGCTTAACAACGTATCGCCATAAAGCACAAGAGAATAAGTTTTTATCATGCCAATAAGAAAATAACACAGTGATCAAGATATCAGGGCACTGTATGCACCCACACTATAAACCTTTCTAAATATATTTCCAGCTTCATTATCCAAGTAATATATAACAATTTATATGCATTTCATCGATCCAGCGTAACCAATAAGCTGCCGACTGTGTCGATGGGAACCAATGTTACTAACACATCATCAACCAGTCCGTTTTTAAATTTCTGTCGATGTATTGGTAAACTTGGATTAGAGATGAGCCGATAGAATAGAAATCCAGAATAAATTATCGTTTATGAGACGAAAAAAACGTCAACCAATAAGCACACAAATAGAATTGTTTACTTACTTTTCTATTTAATTATAGAGTGATCTTTTTATTATAGACGTAAACATCACTTAGTCTACGTTACTTCTTAAGTGAAGATCGTTTAAAATATACAGTAAATTTTTATTAAAAATGTTTATAGCACTCTTTAAAACGTTTTTACCCTGTATGTTGAAGTTTATTTTGCGAGTCTGTACCAAATGCCAGATCGTAGACAAAAATCTAGACTTTTTCGCAGAATAGATGGACGCATAAAACGTTCACTACCTTCCAAAGTGAATTATATTATATAGTTCAATACTTACATATCAAATACATTCGTTTTTACTTCTTATTAGAAGAAATACGTATATACTTACAGTAAACTATTATAGGCTCTAAAAAAACAGCTGTGTTGTATCTCCACGTTTCGACTAAATTGTTCAGTAGCATTCATGAAAATAACGAAGAGAGAATCCATCGAATTGCTATACAGTAAAAAACCTTTGTTATAGGCCTATTGTTAGAAAATTATTTTGTCTGCTTGACACTGACTCCTCCCAAGCTTTTCATACTACTGACACTTTCTCTTGTTCACACTTATAGCTCTGCTATAATTGTTAACCAATCAATGACCAAACTAATCAGACTTACTTTATTATTAATTACGCTTGTCTTTTGTAATTGTTCCTGTTTCATAATGCTGTGGTGATACCTAACATACAATTTTAGATTTACACACCGCCCTATGATTAAATTTCTTAACTATTATTTTATAAACGGTGGAATAATTTATAGGAGGCCACATGTGACATAACCTGTCAATTTCCATCAATATTAAAACTACATTTTGTGCATTCGTGTGTCGTGTTCTTGCACACTTAGTCTAGCACTTAGTCCGCAGTACCACGGTTACATCTCAAACGTATTAAAACGCAGTTATATCATTTTGTCCAGAGGTTTCTCATATATATTTAGGCGGATTTTTTTTACATGTTTAGCAAACCCGCCGCCCTCCAATAATGATGATTTCGAATAAAAAATAAAATCTTAATTTTGGCCAATCAGGGCACCCGCCACCACAAAAAAAAAAAATATAATTTCTTTTTCTTTATTTGGATTACTATCGCCGCTGCATTGAAATTTCTAAAAATAAAATATGTATATGTCTTGTTAATTATATAAATTTAAAGCATTTAACCATCCAATTACTACACTGTTTACATTCAACAATAACATTTTATTTTATTTACTCCTCCGTCTTGATGTTTATTTGCTAAATGAGAAAACAATATTATATTTATTTGTTTCCGCCCTCCTCTGACGACCTTTAAAAATAATATGATATTAAAAGATAAACAGGCTAATTTGATACGGCTGAAATATCTTCCACCTTCTGGAGCTTTTCAGCTGCCATTTATGGAACTTGTCTCAACCCAAAAATGGGGGCACTATTGGTTTGAGCTTTATCGGCATATTATTATACAATAAAACTTTATCAGAATATGGGTCATCGTACGTTGGCAATATATACAAGGTATCGTAGAAATATAGAAACACTTCTACTTATTCATGAGCAACTCGATGACCGATGATTTAAACAATTAGTTTACTACATAATTTACACATAGTTGTTTCTCTAACGATTCAGTTATGTTATGTTCTAAGTTTATTATTATCAGATTATTATTTTGGCGATATCACATTATAATTATTGTGGTGTACCTGATTTCAAAACGAAAGAGCATTTCACTTTTAAAAAAATCATTAAAAGGGTGCAGAAGTAACAAAAAAGAATAGTTTACATACAAAATCTATGACTTAGGTATTTGCCAACATCGCTTGGTTGTTGTAGGCCTAATAAGATTATTTACAAGCTAGTGTAGTAGAAACTGAATAAAACGTTACTCTCTATAAAACAAGTTTTTTTAGCAGCCTTAGCAAGTAATATTGCTTTGAGTAGTGAGAAAAAAAAGTTTTATATTCTATAATTTGTTGGCTCTTTTGAGTAAGATTTTGATGTAGGGGGCTACCCACATGAAAGACAATTTAATGCGTAAATATAGACCTTTCATACATATACCAGATAGTCATTCTGAACACACACTTGTGCGCATCACCTCACTACACAACAGTTTCAATAATTTAAATCGAGTTATAAGCTCCGTAACCATGTGTATGAGCTACAATGCAATACATTTAAAAAAAAATTTATTTGGAAAGTGTGCAGTTTATCAAAATGGTATGTCTAGATCTATTCAGTTTCCGCAGGAGAAAAAGGCGCAACGTTTGCACTACTCCTGGGGAGAAATGAGCCAGCACTATCATCAGCTATATTCTGACTGGCATTTGTATCTTGACTGACGTTATCAGACTGATTGACAACCTCAGCCTGCTGCACTAATACGGGGGTTGCTTCGCGTTCAGACTGGAAAGCCGAAGGCGTTTCTTTTAGTGGAGGATACTGATTTGGGGGCGCCGTATCCTCAACTGATGGTAGAGGGGAAACCTTGGAGCTCAACGTTGGCGATATGGCAGATCTTACACTTGACAGGCTGAATGATCGGTTCAAACTTGTTGACTGTTGCGGAGACACACTTGACTCATTAATATCTGGGCTCGTATGGTTCGTACTTTCCTGGACTGACTTTAGGAGCGTATTATTAGTAGATGACGTAGTCAACGGCTTTTCTGTTTGAGCTGCATCTGTTTGGTCACAAGCCTGGGAATCATTACTGCCATCTGTATGTTGCTCTCTTATATTGGATACTGCCGGTTGGCTGCTTGAATCATGAATTACAATTGGTCCAATTCTGGATGCACGTACTGTACTTGCCATTATGCTGGGTGACGTAGGTACATTGGGTGGTGATGTTCGGCGGGCCCAAGGAATATTATTCACAGGTTCGCCAGTTTCGCTGGGGGTCATACCGCCACCGACGTTAGTTTGGTTAGTAATGTTTTCTACGTCATTATGACGTTTCCGCTTGGCTCTATGCAATAATATTGCAGCAACAAATAGGCCTACCGGTATAAGCACAAATATTGGTACGATGACTGAAACTATGATTACGTGCCCGTTATTTGCGTAGTCTTCTACAGTCATGCAATAAAGAATAAAAAAATTATTTAGTATGCACAGATGTGGAAATATATAAATTATAATTTGTGTTACCATTTATAATATCATGTTATCGTCATCTCTTAATCGTCATTTTCAATTATTTTAAAGACGACGCCATTGACGACTATTATTATGACTATTGTTATCACCATTATTATCATTATTATAATTATCATCAACATTATCGACATCATCATCATCATCATCATTTATTTGACTAATAATGAGTTCGAGGCTCAGAGTAAAAATCGCATATAATTGTGGTGTTGTGTATTTACGTTATCAACTACATAATCATTATTTGAGGAAAAAGACAGACCTGTTATTTCCACTGGGATAGCTGTTGTATCGGCTGTGGAAACAAATCATACATTTGATTAGTATGATTCAATTGTAGCGCTAAATCTATACATTCTTTTCAGAGATCACCCGACTTCCGTGATATAGCAGCATGGAACTCACTTAGATCAAATCAGATAAAAGTTTTCATAACTTTCGTTAAATTCTAGTTTGATACTAAAATTGTTAACGGCACTCCATATAATATGAGAACGGTTTCTATCATCATATATGCACACATACGTGTGTATGTTTCACGCTATTATAACATTTGTAAATCAAACTTTCATTAAACACATGTACCCGTATTCTGGTATACTTGAATCAATATTATACAATCTGCCAACAAGATATTTCTGCTGTAATCTACTGAAACCACCAATAGTGTTATTAAATACACAAGACAGGATCTCCTAAGAGTATTATTTTTATATAAGAAATCGTACATGTAGAGATAAACTCTAAACCATCTGAGAGAAATCTGCGACTGACGTTTAAGTGTACAGCTATAGTCAAGTAAATACCTTTAAGTGTACAGTTTATAGTCCTGGATCCAGGGATACTATCACACTTTTATTTTCTGCACGCTTCCAGAAAGCGGCGTAAATTCAAGCCCTAGTGGAGCTGAAAAGATTACCGTTACGTGTAAGACTGAGCGCTCACTCACTGAGTCGTACGACGATCGTACGAACGTCGACCGACGAATGGAACCCCGCTCTTTGTGAGCGCAAGACGACGCTAGCCTCTGCTGATTGTCGGTGGCATTTCCAACGGATCGTCCTTAAAAACAGATCCTTGGGATTGCGTTCAGTGGCGGCTCTAGGATATATTTTCTAAGGTGGGGGGGGGGGCGCTAAGTTGTCCGACAGGGGGACTTGAGCTCGAAGGTTCGATCTGGTGGAAGGAATTGAAAGGGGATTCCCCCTCCCAAATGAGATATTTTTAAGAATAGCAACCTGTGGATAGCCGGAAATGGCACTCTGAGACTGTGACAGACATGACATTGTGTTGGCTTGGTGTGGGCCTATTTTTATGTTTCATGGTCTGACCGCCCGACGAGCTCTGTCCGGCGGGGGGGGGGGCTTGACCTGTCCGGTGGGGAAACTTAAACCTTCCTTTTCCCCCGCTGGCGCCGCCACTGGACTTGTGTTGTCTATAGAATCGCGTCGGCCGACGAGCATCGTGCACAGCGAGTTCGCGGCTTAAGTGTGCGCGTGTATTCAATTTATATTCACAGGTATAAGGCAATTTAAGTAATAGATATGCCAATGCATATTCGCATGTGTCTTTTCAATTGGCATCATTTACACATTATACTAGAAATTGCAAATTGCAAGTGAAGTGCTGCGAAGTACAACTGCATATAAATGTTCTTCGAACACAATTATTTATGCGAGTCAAGTGAAAATAATGAATAATAAAACTATAACAAATAATATGAGACACGACCCATTGTCTATATTAGAACACTTCTCATTGGGTAACAAAGTCGTAATTTTTCATTTTTGTCAAAAAGTGTCTATAGTGTGGTGAATTATGGTTTAGGTTTTTTTTGTAAAGTTTCAAAAATTTCTATGTATGTGGAAAATGTAGTTGGTTACCAAAGGTTACAATTTTTATTTTGAAGACTGCATGGTCTGGGAAGTGTACATTTTTTTATGGGGCAAGTTTCCCAGGGCGGGTTTTCTAGGGGCGATTTGACTGCCAAAGAGTGTTGCCAAAGTGCGAGCCAGCGTGTTATTTGATCACAAGTGCGAGACATATCACAAGTGTGAGCCAGCGAGCCATGACGTCACGACAATAGATAC